GTGTGTGTGTGTGTGTGTGTGTGTGTGTGTGTGTGTGTGTGTGTGTAACAGCATGAAGAGAAAGTGCTGACAAAGACAGGACGTCTCATCTCTGCTCGTCACGCTGAGGTCATTTCCTGTCCTGATGCGATGCTGTCACAGAGTTTCAGTCTTCGCTGTAATGTGTATTTATTAAACTGAGAAGACCTGCGCGTCCTTCAAGTACCTGTATTAAAGACTCATTCACTAATAGAAAAATAAAGTAACACATCGTCTCCTGTGTTTGCGTGTGATTTCATCTTCAACCTCAACTCTTCTTTACATTTAAAACGCTCCACACTGTGCTGGACTCACACTCACAGTGATGATGTCAGCTGAAGAACATTTTTGGTTCTTTCTGTAGTTCTGTAACGTGTTGATGGTTCCACTGACCTGTTGAAATGAGAATGACAATAGAAATGAGTCACTGCAGATAAAAACAGGTCTTTCATTTTTATGTTGACACGAATAAACGCAGGTAGAAAATGTTGAAGTCAGCCCAGTAGGTTTGCTTGGCCTTCGTTTCATTCTGAGCTCACATGACTGTTTCCTGTTCGACCTTAAATTTCATTTGTTTGAGTGTTTGGAGCCTGACAGTGATAAGACTCAAAGCACAGGAAACAGAAGCTGATTGGCTCACAGAATGCAGGCAGGAAGATGATTGGACCAGAGCGATGATGAGAAAACTGAGCATGACAGCGTGGGAACGCTGTGACGAGCTACGTGAGTGGCCAGGAGACGGCAGAGGACTGCACTCTGTGTGTAACTGCCCACTGTGGACACTTGGTGGCAGCAGAGCGTCATTTCTGAGCTCCTTAACCTCCCAGGACCTCCCGTCCACATATGTGGACGTCACATTTTGGGTTATTTAGACCAAAATACTAAATTTTGTGCTACAAGGGCCTGAATCCACTTATGAGGACAATATAATGCCACAAAAATCTGGTTTAAAAAAATCACGCCATTCTTTGTTTTTACATTAATCAGGTCCCAATCAGCCCAAATAGCAAAGAGAAATTAAAAATGCTGCCACGAAAGAGTTAAACCTGCTGCTTACTGAAGTCCCCGTGAGGACGATTTTACTCAGAGAGCTGAGGAGGACTGCAGACTGCCAGCATCGAGTCAGTGAGGAAGGCGCTGACAGTATAAACGTCAGGAAACATTAAAGTTTTCAGCTTCTCGTCATGATGTGATCGAGTCGGCTCGTTTCTCGCTGCTGGGCAATGAGCAGCTTTGCATGATTCACAGTTCAAAATAATCCTTCTTCATCTGATCCTGTGCAACCCCTCATTATCGTCTGAAACAAAGTGCTTTAGCTCCGCCCCCTTAAAGCCAATTTTCTAATTGAAGGTCAGATGAACAGCAGGTGGGTGGAGCTTCTGTGCCCGAGGGGCCCAGTTAGAGACATCCCCTCTCTGTGACAGGAGCAAAATGACTTTGGGGCAAAAGAAAGTTTTTGATTTTTTCCTGACTGGTGAGACCTGGAAGGACTTTTCAGAAGTCATAAATCACACTCTGGAGGTTTTATTAGCGATACTGAATCAGCCCTGCGAGTTCACGCTTTCAGAAACGTCTGCATGTTTTTCACATCTTGTTGCCTCAAATCAATAAAAACGTATATTGCAGTGTTAGCTGTGCATGACTGAGGCCTTACAAAACAATATTAGTTTGGAGGTTTGTGGAGGAACATCACAGACTGTGTTTAGCAGCAGCTGCTGGCTGGAGTCCCTGCGGTGCTTTATACAATAAGGCAGCCTTATTTTAGCAGAACAACAGTGGCTCGGGGGGTTTGTCCAACAGTGCAGACTGGAACCAAGACAATGAGCGCTGGGATTTTTTCTTCTTCTTGTTTTAATTTGCTGCAGCAGCCTGCTCTTTGTCATAGTTGGGTTTTGTTTTTCACTGAGGGGGATTTTGAAAACTACAACAGACACAAAGCAGGAAGAAGAAGAACGCAGCAGAGGACCTGAGGTCTCCACGGCTGGATGCAGAGGAGTGGAGAAAGGCCCGCTGTCTGCCTTCAGTGTGACGGAGGCCTGAGGCAGTCGACGGATGTGGTTTGAACGTTGGGAACAAATGAGTGAGGTGTTAGAGGAGGCTCCTGGGTGTCTTTGCAGAGACAGTAAATCCCCCCAAATAATCCTCCCTGCTGTCTCTGATGGGCTGAAATTCACAAAATGAACTTTATGCATTTTTCAGTCAGACTCAAAATACAGCCTGAGACCAAAAACTCACCAGGAAAGAGTTTTACTGAGCAGGAGGCTCGTTCTCTCCTCACAGGCTTCTGCACAGTCACACCCAGAGGAGTCGCCCCCTGCTGGACGCAAGAAAGAACGCAGGTTTTTGACACACCATCATTGGCTCTACTTTTCAGAGCTGATAACGATAAAGAAATTATAATTAATACTAATATCATGCTTGAAACCAAACACTGACAGAGAGAGAGGAAGTGAAAGGCTGTGAGCGAATGCTGAGGAGGAGGAAGATGAAGAATGAAGAAATACCAGAGTGACCGAGCCACAGGGGGAGGGCAGATCTTCAGACACAGTAGATGGTGTTTTTAATACTATGTTAGTCTAATTTGGCTGTGTGGGGTCTACGTGGACCTTCTGTGTTGTAAGTTACAATGACTGCACAGCCATTAAGGATCAAACTGGTTTCAGTTTTTCTGTTTTTTCTCCCTCTGCTTGCTTCTTACTGTCTTTGAGGGACCAGCACTCCTGCTGCTGGACAGAAAGACATCAGTAAGTATTTTGGTTTTCCAATATATTAGCAACTGTCAGTGACATTTATATTAATCAGGCTGGGCTTTAATCATACTTTAGATCAGCCTGTTTTACTTGTTGTTTTATTTGTGCTTTGGTTTGGGGAAGTTGTTTCTTCACTGATCTTTTCCTGTCTTCTGTTATTAGACTTGAGATGTGACTGCACGATGCTGTTGCTGCTGACTCCAGTTAATTATACGAGACATGCTGTGGAAGTAGACAAACAACAACAGTTTGTCTGCATTTCTTGAAAGATCTCATCCCCCAAACTTAGTTTAGAGGGTCTACACTGTATATAGTGAAGTCTGCAAGTTTTCTAACAGCAACATTTGTTTTGTGCCCAAATCATTTTGCACATCATTAGAATGAAAGTATTGGCCATGTTTGCATAGCCCTTTTTAAAATGATGCTTTCATGACATTATTGTGTGTTGGGTGGGGGTCAGGGCTATCCAGACTGACAGTGGGAC